AAAATTATTTGTCTTACTAATGGCCCAAAAGAAAGACAAGTTGCCTGGATGCCTGGATACTGATGAAGCACTTGTGACAGAAAGTATTATATTGGAGATGTAAAAGGTCACCAAACCACCACATACACAACCCTAAAGAATCAGAAATTTGAAAATAAATTATGCACCCACCAGACAGGCTGTTATTTTCTTGGCTCTTTCATGAAAGGATAGAGTGAAACTACTAGGAGGGGGTTTAGCTACCTACACATGTTGATTTTTTTATCTCGATTTCTTACATCAGAAAAACAAGCCAGAGTGCCCCAGAGAGAATGCTAATTTCATTGTATAAATCAAGCAGCAAAACCCCAGAACCCCCTAAAAATGCTCAAACGGTTGGCAGGCCCCTGGGTACCATGCCATGTCAGTGGGTGAGCTTCTGCAGCCTTAATTAGAATGCAGTCAGATGGGAACATAAAAAGCAGTGCCCAGTGGTTTTTCTAGATATCCAGACTCTCTAGCCAACAGCTGAGGCTTACTGAAGAGGGGAAAATTAAGCCCCTGAGACCGTGTTCCAAAGGGGTGCATTTCCCAGAGGCGTGTGCAGGCCCAAGCCCCATTAGGCAGCGCAGGCAGGGGAGCCTCCAGGGTTGATGGATTCCTCACCGTTCTGCTTCTCCGTCTCCACAAGCCTCTGCCATGGAAGCCAGAGGAGAATTTCAGCTGTTGTTTCCCTGCTTTCTTCCTGTTTTTTTTTTTTTTCATGTCTTTTCTTTCTTCTGCTCTGTGTTTGCGATTTCATCAAAGAATAGTTTTAATCATATTCTCCTTTTTAATCTTAGAGATGCTCTTCCAGTGGTTTCATAAGATTAGGATGGTGGCAAGTGAAGGAACTCTCTGTTTATCTTTGAAACATTTCTATAAAGCTAAAATTACTCTAAAATTAAAAGGTTATTTTAAAACAAATCCACCAGAGGAGTTTCAGATGTCTTAGGCTGCAGCAACAAACACGGTGAAATTCTGGCTCGTGTGGAAGCAAAAAAATAAAGAGCCAAGTTGTTCTGTCTGAGAATAAGGGGACTGATTTTAATTCTGTTAACTATCTTTGTGACCTTATGCCAGCTATCTACTCCTCTCTTCATTTTTATTGCTTATCATTACAAGTTATTATACATGTTACATATAATTTAATTGCATACTATTATACTTACTATCCCAGAAGAACAATTAGATCACTCTGTATATGAAAAAAATTCATGTGTATCCACAGCTACACCTTCTAAACCAGTTTTGTCATGCCTGAAAATTCAGCATACACAAGTTTACTTCTTTCAGATCTTGCAGTTGACCTAGACAATTTCAGTTCCAGTTTAGGCAAATGTCAGGTCATTTCTAAGAAAATGGGGAATTAAAGGACTGGGGATAACTAAAGATGGCATACAGGAAATGGAAGATAAGAAATCTCAAAGGCCTATGGACTGTGATCCTAGGTCTGCTAGAGGGGCCACTCTGGGGCTGAGAGCCAAGGGGCAATCTTGTGACAACTTCTCTGACCAGACATTCTGGTGAACACAAGTGAAGGATTTACAAACCTGGAATTTGGGAAAGGCGGTTCAGAACCCCCCCCCCCCATATTTATGTCTCTAAAATCCAGTTGCTTATAGTTTCTGAGATCCAAGAAGCCAGAAGTCAAAAGCTTAGAATTAGAACATCAGAATAATTTTCCTTTAATGCTTTATAATAAATTTCAGCTACATGCACAGTTAATCTCAAGGTTGTGTCAGAAGCCACAAGGATTAAAAACTTCTAGGGAGGAGACCCTAAGTGCAATCACATCATCCATATTGTTATGGAAATGAATTAAATGCCTTTGCACTGATGCTCTCTTGATTGTTTCATTTAAATGCTTTTCATTAAATTACTTCCAAAATTCAGTGCCAAGAAAAGATTTCCATGAATTCGGAAGTTCTTCAAGCACAAATAACTTCTCAAGGGGAATATTCAGGAACTTCACTCCTGAGCTAGGAAGAACCATGATAACACAGCCCAGCCTCCCTCAAGAGATTACTGAGGGGCAAAGTACGATAATAAGGATAAAGTTTTTTGAAAGTTTTAAAACACTGATTACAAAGTACTATGTTTTGGAGCACTCTTTGGTAGTAGTTCCTGACTGTAGGAAGGAACTGTAAAGTAATGACTGTCCCCAAGAGGCACTGAGCTCCCCAAGAGCTCTGGTGGCCCCAGGAGGCATTAGGACATAATGAGAAGAAGTAAGGGTAGAAGCTTTTTACTTAGATAAGTGCATAGCTCAATACCGAGAACTAGCAGAGCAGAAGACAGAAACACAGTAATCTAGGAATCAAGAAAGTCTTCCGGGAGGAGGCAACATCTATGTTTGAAAAGATGACCAGACATTAATAAATCATTTGGTGGGATGGGTTGCAGAGTTACAGAGTGATGATGGTGATAGTGTCACCGTGAGAGGGAAAGAGGAAAGCAAACTGAAAGAAATGAAAGAAGAGAAACCAAAGATGAGGCTGGGGAACGGTGCCGGATGTAGGACACGGAGGGAGAAAGAGTTGTAAATTATGTTAGTTTTATTCTTTATCATTTCGGAGGGAAACTGGAAGCCAAGAAAGGGTTTTAAGGAGAGTGATGGTGTGAATAGATCTATAGCTAAGTAGCATTTTTCTGACTTCCTTGGTGTTATGGATTAAGAATTTGTGGTCCGATCTTGTTTTGACTGATTAGACTCTGTTCCATTCTGTGCGATAGTAGCAAGCCTGAAGGTATAGGCAACTAATTTGAAGGCAATAAGATTCACAAAGATGCCCATTCTGGTTTGACTATTGTCTCCTTTAGAAGTCCTGTAATGTTCACAATGCCTAAGTTTTATTGGTCTTGTTCTCCACTGTTTTGTCCAACTTTATAATATCTAATGAGATAGACAATTCTTTTTAAGGAAACAAGAGACAACGTTGATAACCATTGTTAATAACCTTGTACTCTGTTCTACATCATGTGCTATGTCTATCCTTGGTTTTGACTTACAGCTTTGTTTTGCCATATTTGACTTTATTCTCTCCCCCCCCAAAAAAGTAATAAGAACTAAGGAGTAATAAAATCCAAAATGTGTAAATTTTTGTTGTAAAAAAGAGAGGGAGGAAAAAAAAAAAGAGCTCTAACGGATATAACAGCAAGTGTGTTTAGGGGTGTTAAATAGCTGACTATATTAATGTTTTTGGATCATTGAACACAGCTGTTTGCAGTCTCTCTGTTTGAATGTCTACTTTGTATTCTTTGATACTGTCATTTGAGCAACTATTTCCAAGATGATAATATGTAATCTATTAACAGGTGATTTCTTACTGTTATGTTTTTTTTTTGTAGTTCTGTATTATGTGTAACCTTACACTGCTTTGTTTTGTTTTGTGTTTTTCTCTTTTTCCTCTTAAATAAAAAATAAAAAATAAAAAAAAAAAAAAAGAATTTGTGGTCAACTTAATGCCAGCTGGATTACATCAGCATGGCATTGAGCGAAGATGCTCCACCTGAGGAAAGTTGCTAGGATAAATGGGTGGAGAAGAAGGGAGGTGCTGAGGGTTGAGGCGTTAAGGAGGCATTGTGGGTTCTCCTACGAGTTGCTGTCTGAGCTGTTGGTTCTCCTGGAGAAGCTTTGGTCTTCACATTGAGCACTGCTTCCTGGCTCCGAAGGGGAAGACATGTGTTGCTTGGTCTCCAGGATGAACTCATCACACTGCTTCCTGGCACATACCCGACTGTGCTTGTCTTCAGAGGAGCTTGGGGGGCCTCCTTGTCGCTGAGAATGGCAGTGGTGCCTTTCAGGACAGCCCTGGTCTTTGTTGTGAGTGTGACTTCTCGGCTCCAGCATAGAACCCTCATCCCACTAGCACAGCTCCTTCATCCTGCTGGCATAGACTTTTTGGCTTCCACCACTGATCCTTGGGTCTTCCCAGCACAGATTTGTAAAAGAGGAGTCCTTGTGGGCTCTGGACCTCCAGTTGGACTCGTGGGAGGCATTGTCCTGAGGTCTGGGTTTTTATCTGGACTCATGTGGGACATTGCTGTGGGATTTAGGCTCTTGACTAAATAATCTATGTCTTTGGTGTTGTGGATAGATTTCCTGCATTTTCTTGTGTTAACTCCTGATGACCATTATAAAAATAATATTATAAACTCCATGTCCTGATCCTAATTGTTCTCTGTGCACAACCCCTGACTACAACACTTGGTATCTAGCTCCCATGACCTGGACAAAGTTCCTCCCAAATTTCCCAATCCAGTCCCTTCTCTGCCTGCCCCTCCTTGTTCTTTCCTAGATGTGTTGTCAGCCTGTAGCATGGTACCGTGTGTGTTCTGTACTTCAGGGGAGTAAACTCAGCCAGTAGTGTACTGTTATCTTTTAATTGCTTTCAACCCTACAGACTGTAAACAAGTTTTTCTTCACCTTTCCACTCAGCTCTGATTTATTCAGCTTCTCTGAGCAATGCATTTACTTTTAATTAAACACAACTTAATTATTTTGTCAGTAAAACAAAATCGATAAAACAACTTTTAAGTGAAATCACACTTCTGCCTGGAGGGATATTAGAAATAAAATTATGCATCTCGTTTTACCTGTCTCTTACAAAGACAAGATGGCTTTGCATTGCCTATTCCCCAGATCTTTTACTTTTCACTGGGAGGATAACTGGGGAAATCAAGCTTAGACAAGAGGGAAGAAAATGAGGAGTTCAGATTTCAGTGGAGAGAAAATACATGAGTATGTGAGGTAGCATTTCTCCAGGTTGCTGTGTGGCACCTTCACTTGACACCATGACTATAGGAAGTGGCTATAACATGAGTTTCCTACTTATATCTTGACAACCCCTGGTGCTTGCATTCAATTTTCCATTGATAGCCTATCCTGTCACGGATACAGGGGAAACTCCCAACCTACTATGTCGGGTATGAGTTTATGTTCTCTAAAATCTAAGAATGAATCTTAGGAACAATGGAGATTAAGAATAGAATATATTTATTGACAGAAAGAAAGTTTCTGTCTGAGAGAGGGACAGGAGGGTCCCAAGCACATTGCCAGGGACTCTGTCTTCTCTAGGGACCTTTGCAGAGTAAAATCATGGGGTGAGATGCGTAAAAGGTGGGAAAAACTGGGAACTCACAAGGCAGATGGGCTTAAGGTGGGATAAAACTACAGTTAACCAATAAGATTAATTGTTCAGGTAAAATTGATTGCATTGGGGACAACTAAGGCAGAGTCACGTAAAAAGTAGGCATTCTTATGGAGCAGTAACTCTTCTCTAGGGGAGTGGGATGGTGAGACCTGACTTCCTCAGGGTGATAAAGATCTATTTAGAATACCAGTTCTTAGGATATGGATGAATTTGCTTGATCTTTTATCTTGAGGGAGGCCTGGGCCACAGCAGGAGGTGTCTGTTTCCCCAACAGCTGCACAGTTTCTGGGCTTCTGCACTGGCTCCTTTGAGGACCTAGCCCTGTCTCACTGCCTATAACATTTGTAGCTAATTCAGCTGCCTGTAACATTCCCCTCTGAAGAAATAACCCGAACTGCTCTGAGTGGGTAATGGGCGATGACCGATCTGGCTTCCTCATGCTGAAGAGCGTCGTAGTGGTTGAATGACAGTCAGATGTACTTCTGCCAAGATCCTGGCTAGAGGCCCTTGGTAGACACCAGTCATTGTCATCCTGGGTAAGCGCACAGCTTTAAGTCTGGAGGAGACAAAGCCAAAGAAAGAGTTAAGTATGTGTGGGCCAAAGAATAAAATCAACAAGATAGGGCCAGGGATTTAACTCAGTGGCATAAGCGCCTGTCTGGCAAGTATAAAGTTGTGAGTTCAATCCCTGGTACCAAAAATAAAATAAAATAAAATCAACAAGATAATCATGAGTATAGTTAACAAAGATTTTTAGCATAAGGAACTGGAATTAATTTCTACAAGGACAAAATCTGACATGTCATTAATTTACCATCTAATATTTTGAACAGTTATTAAGATATTAGCAGAAAGATCAGGAATGTACACACATCTAGTTTCTACAATTGCACAAGTACTTCGCTGTGCTGCTGTTAGAATATCTGATGCCATCTGATTTTAGAGGATGGTCTATCCTATTAATTTTATTTTTTATTTAGGGGAGAGACCAGTTACTTTGTCACATTTAAGATCATGAGTATAATTAAGGCCTCAGTATACATTTTATGACTCTCTCTGGTCAAGATCTGGTGGATACCAGTAAAAGAAATCTAAAAGGAATCTAGCATATTTGTTATTGGTCTTATCTGTATGATGTCTTAGGGTTTGGCACATTTAGGCAACAATTTTTAATCAAAGCATATAAAATCAAAGTTTGTATACAAAGGCATACATAAAGCATGAGTAATAGTAGTGGCACTTAAGTTTAGAAACTGTTTCTAAATTATGACAATTATAACCCATTAGGTTCTTTTATTGATGAAGTCTGACATTGCCATAAAAAATGTTTTAGCTTTAGTTATAATTATCTCTAAACTTGATTAACTTATAGAAACAGATTAATACTTTATTTTGACAAGTGGAGCTCTGTTTAAGTTTTTACATATGAACAACAATATGTACTATATTTGTAAAAATCAGTCTCAGTATCATTTTGATTAGTTGGCAACTTGGATACATATTTATGTACTATAGTATTTAGACAAGATAAAATCTCTCCAGGATTGGAGTTGGGCTTTTAGGCATAACTAAAAGAAATGAGTGAATAGAAAGTTATCCCAGTTACAGTTTAAGTAACCTGTATTTTGCTGATTGAATTGAGGTTCAGTGTCTGGAAGGAAGACCTGAGTTGAGAAGGACAGAGACAAGTGCCAATGTCCAGCAACTGGCTGATGTTTACCTGTTGTTATGATTCCTCTGGCTCCTCTGTGGAGATGGCAGTCTCGCCAGGGGAGGAGATGAGTGCCCTGATGCCCTTTAGTCCTACTGGACCATCTGATAGGATGGGTTTGAACCCTGGGCCTTGGCTTCAGAGGGCAGTCTGACCTCCAGTGGTTACCTTTGCAGTTAGGACATGGCTTGGGGGGCCTCTTACTGCAGCCCCTCTTAAAATGGCCTGGCTTGTGACAGTGATGGCAGGTAGCTGTCACCTTTGGGAGTTCTTGGAACCCCAAGAATCAGACTTAAGGCCTGTGTTTTTAAGGCCACAATAAAAGCAGCCTTTTTTTGTCTCTTTGTTTTCTCTTTGGTTTTTCTCCCTGTCCTAATTATAGAATACTAAGAAGGCATTTTTACTAAAGCATCAAGTGAACTATCTGAAACAAAGGCTATCTTTTGTAGCTTTTTTCAAATGGCTGGAGTTGACCGGACAATAAAATGTCTTTAAGTAGAATCTGTCCCTCTATTGAATCTATGGATCTATGGACATATGTTTTATTAGTGCCTCTGATAAAAAATCTAAGAAGTTAGATGGGTTTTCATCTTTTTCCTGAGAAACAGCTGACAATTTAACTAGAAGGCTTGATTTTTGTCCTTCCTACATCTTGGAGAATACACACTTGAAAACGTCTCCTGTTCCAATCTCCTGTCTTGTTGTCAGGCCACTTGGGGTCTTGGGTGGGAATGGGTGGTTCCTCTGGCTGTCTATCTTCTGACGTTCTAAAGGTAACAATATAATATTTATCTCCAAATGCAATAGCAGCTTGTAATGCTGCCTGTCTCTCACTAGAAGTCAATGTTTGATTTGAGAGTAACATTACATCTTTCGCTCTAGCTCATAGGTCTGAGTAAATCTTCTAAAGACATCAGTGTACTTATCAGGGTCATCTGAAAATTCTCCTAGTTCTAGTTTAATTTGCTTTAAGTCACTGAGAAAAAAGAGACCTATGAACGGGAGTGGTCTCATAAGAATTATAATTATACCTGAAGCATGGAAAAGAATTATGTTTTAATGCAAAAAAGTTTGAACATGCAACAGTTCTAACCATTTTTCCTCTTTCTAGTTGGAAAAGAATGTCATATTTAGTAATTCCCTCTGTATTCCATTTTGGCTCTAGGGGGTAGGTAGGCCAGGCACTCCTACAGAGAAGTACCAATTGGTTCTTTTTCAATGTGGAAGGGTTGAACATCTTCCAGTGCTTAAGAATGCATTCCAAAGGAGTAAGGGGCTTTGGCCTTGTGTTGCCCATGTCTGTAATTCAAAAGGCAAGGCATAAGGGTATGAAACCTTTTTTGTACCAAGAATCAACCTCAGCAACTTTTGCTGAGCTATGAATGATACTGAGCTATCTAGCTATGCAAAAAAGGAAATAAATAAGGTGTTTTTTTGGGTTGAAACTGCTCCAGGGCAAGTGAATGTCCTCTGGAGAGCCTGGAATATAGATTCGGTTAACCTATCCTCCCTGAGTCTGAGTTGCAATCTTATCTTCCCAGATAGCTGGTGAGCTCTGTTTACATAAGGAGTGCTTAAAGAAGGAAGCATAATTCTGTAATAAATCATTTAGTTTACTGGAAGAGAGCATACTTTAAAAGGTCAGTTGAAAGTAGAGTGATTCTCGGGTTGTAAAGTAACTCCTCTTCTACAGATAGGTAAAACAATTGACTGGAGGAGCTTTGCCCCGTGCACTAGGGCAAAGGAGTCTCCAAGAAGCTTGTCTCCCATTTAATTAGCTAGGTAACTTTTCCTAGTAACAGGACAAGGCTCACAAGTTAAATAATCTAGCAATCACATTTTACAAGGCTTTTAGGCACATCGAAAATAAAAGGCTATTTACTTTTAATTAACATATGTAAGGAGCAAATGTAAATCCTTCCCAGCTGGAAAGTTTCTTTTGAAATGTAAAAAGCTGTTGCAGGGTGCCTTAGCCTAATTTTGAGAGAGGTAGTCTAACTGCTTGAAAAGTTTAGGGAACATCATTAGTGTACTAGCAGAAAGACCTAAATAAATAAGTAAGAGTTTTCTGGGGTTGGGAAGCCAGTGCCCACTGAGGAAACCTTGGCTGTGTTGGCCATGACCCATCAGTAGTTCTCAGTTTGCAAAGGCACCACACAACCAGGGGTCAGTGTCCAGAAAGGAGCCCAGCTGTCTGTCTGGTTAACACTCCGTTAACTCCATTGGCTACTGGCTTCAATGGGGATTTACCCAACAGATGCTGGGGAAATCTGTCCTCTGCTTTTAGGAGTCATAGCTGTTGTAACTACTGATTGTCAGTTCTATAAGGGATTGTTAAAAGCCAGAGCAAGATCATTACCTAGTGTTCTATAAATTTACAGTACAGGTTTTAAAGTCCACAATTTGAAAGATTGGAGGATCTCCTTATTCTAAATTTGTTTTGATCCCAAATGTGTGCTGCTTTGAGGGAGAGCGTCTTCCATTGTCATGTGGAAGCTCGTTCTCCCCATCCGGTCTCAGGATCGATCTCTGGAAAAAAAAAAAAAAAATAGTGGAGAACATTAAGCCAGAATGTGGCTGTTATGTATGTTCTCCTGGATGGCACAATTTTGAAATGTCATCTGACCCCAGACACCGTGTATGTGTCCTTCATCTAAGATGACTTCCCTGTCTTCAACATTAGCAAATGCTCATTTTCTATGAGCTTAACTTGAAAAGATTGGAATAATCTAGAGTTCTTTCTAATTTCACATGCCTCTAAAAGGAGAGTACAAAGTTAGAAAAGAGTAGAGGTAAAGTCATAGGAAGGAAACAAGCAGCACAGGCTTGACATTTCCTCTAGAGTTCAGAGGAGAATCAGAGCCAGTCTGCCTCAATGAAACCTGTCCCCCAGGTCTTGAAGAATGGCCACCAGCCTAGTGCTTTTTAAATGGTGGAAGGAGTCCTGTGTGTTATGATAGGCAGGCATATTTTCTAAATCTGAGCTAGATTTCATTTAAGAGAACCATTTTACAGACATTTACATTAAAGTCTGCTAGGGATGTTCCATTATTCTTTCTTGTGCTATTTTCTAAGTACAGTCAAGCAAGGGGTACCAGTAACTCTAGCAACTAATTTAAATTCAACATGTACAACAAAATAATAAAAATATACCATTAAAGAAATAGCATAACTATAATTTTCCCATGTTTAGATTTATCATTTTTTAACAAAACTATATAAGAGAGAAAGCAATTATAAACAATGGGGAAACACAGAACAAAATTTAAAACATGAAGTTTGTTACCTAAATAACCCCCAGTCCAGAGTCTATGAAACAAAAGCAAACTCTTACCTCCATCCAATGATCTCAGTGGAAGACCACCAAATGATATAGGGGAATGAAACTCCCGACCTACTATGTCAGGTATGAATTTGTGTTCTCTAATATCAAAGAATAAATTATAAGAACAATAGAGGTTAAGAATAGAATGTATTGAGAGAGACAGACAGACAGACGGATTTCCAAGTGGGTTGCCAGGGACTCTGTCTTTTCTAGGGACTTTTTAAAACCATGGGGTAAAAAGGATGTAAGGGGGGTGGGGACTGGGACAAACATCTTAACTATGGTTAACCAATAAGATTAACTGTTCAGGTAAAACTGATTGCAATGGGGACAAATGGGGGAAGCCAGTCACATAGAAAGCAGGCATTCTTATGGAGTAGTGACTCTTCTTTAGGGGCTTGGATGGTGACTCCTGACTTCCTCGAGGTGATAGGGAACTATTTAGAATATCAGTCCTTAGGATATGGATGCATTTATTTGATGTTTTATCTTGAGGTCTAGCCCATAGCAGGAGGTGTCT